TGGCCTGGAGCAGTGGAGTCTACAGACTTGGAAGAGCCACTGTCATAGGGTTGAGTGAGGGGACTTTGGGTGGAGTGGGCACCGGGGGAGGGGAGTGAGGAAAATGGAGGCACTGAAGACGTGTCTGAGACTCCTCCTTGGGTGGCCAGTGATGCCATTTACCTGGATAAACTCATGTGTTTTTGTATTTTTGCCGGGTCGGGGGGGGAGGGTTATTCTTTGTTTCTGAGCTTCCTTGGCTTTATTAACTTCTAGAAGTACCTGTGGCAAGGGCCATCGACTGCTGAGAGAGGTGTGAGGCATGAATGAGCAGGTGGCTATAAGCAGCTCTGCCAGGGCACCATCCCCTCTAGCTGCAGTGGGTTTCCTTGTAGAACCAGGAGTATTTCTGCACTGAATGCCAGAAACTTGACTTCTTAGTAGGTCAGGTACCAGGCACAGTTTTCTGGCTGGGCCGAATGAGACTGCACCCAGTAAACACACCCCGTTAACGTGTGTAACAGAACTAGATTCTCTTCCCTCACAACCTTGTGAGGACACATGCGGTTACATCAATATCACAAGTCTCAGATGTTTGAAGCCTTGCTCTTTAAAAAATAACAGTTTTATTGAGATATAATGCACATGCCATAAAATTCAGCCTTTTAAAGATTATAATTCAGTGGTTCTCTTTTTTTAATTTTTAAAAAAATCTCCTTTGAGTATATAGTTACGTTCCGTTTTTGTTGTTGTTTTTTTGCGGTACGCGGGCCTCTCACTGTTGTGGCCTCTCCCGTTGCAGAGCACAGGCTCCAGACGCGCAGGCTCAGTGGCCATGGCTCACGGGCCCAGCCGCTCCGTGGCATGTAGGATCTTCCCAGACCAGGGCACGAACCCATGTCCCCTGCATCGGCAAGCGGACCCTCAACCACTGCGCCACCAGGGAAGCCCCCACGTTCCTTTTTTTAATGCTTAGTATTTTTATTGTGTTCATGCATGTGGGATCTTAGCTCCCGACTAGGGATCAAACCTGTGCCCCCTGCAGTGGAAGCACGCGGTCTTGACCACTGGACTGCCAGGGAAGTCCCCAGTGGTTCTTAATATATTCATAAAGTTGTGCAACCATCACCACTTTTGAATTTTAGAGCATTTTCAGCTCTCCCCCCGACTCCACCCCCAAAACCCTGGTATTCATTAGAAGCCACACCTTATTCTCCTTTTTACATATATATTTTTTCTTTTTAAAGTTTGTTTGCTGTTGTTGTTTGCTATTCTGGATCACTTGAATTTCCATATGAATTTTAGGGTCAACATGTCAATTTCTATAAAGAAGCCAGCTGGGATTTTGATGAGGTTGTGTTGAATCAGTAGGTCAATTTGGGGAGTATTGTCATTTTGACAATACCTAAGTCTTCTGATTCATGAAGTCTTTCTATTTATTTATTTTCTTTCTTTCAACAGTATTTCATGGGTTTTATTGTACAAGCCTTGCAATTCTTATATCTATTCTCTAGTATTGTATTCTTTTTGATGCTATTGCAAATAGAATTGTCTTCTTAATTTTATTTTCAGATTGTTCATTGCTAGTGTATAGAAATACAATTGATTTTTGTATATTGATCTTGTAGCCTGTCACCTTACTATACTTGTTTGTTGGTTCTGATCATTCTTTTAGTGGAATTCCTTAGACATTTCTATATAAGAGATCATGTCATCGGCAAATTATTACTGAGTGAATAAACAAGTAAGAGCTGTGGCTGTAAAGAACATAAGGTGGAAACAGTCTCCAAAGGTGGGCTTGAGAAGCCAACAGAATGGGATGCAGATGGAGGTAGGAAAATAAGTCAGGAGGAGTGGTAGAGTCAGGTGAGTGGCAGGTCATAAAATCACAGGTAACTGGTTGTCAGCAGCTCAGTCGGTTTCATTGCCCTTATAGAATTCTGGGTGCCTCTCCTGGGACTCATTTAAAGGATTCAATGGACTCCTTTCAGCTGCGTCACCAGTGGCAGGAAAAAGACATAAATCTAAGCCATTCTTGATGTTCAGGATAGTTTCAGGCAAGGCTATGAAGCAGGCAAAGCGTAGAAGAAGAGAAGAACTAAATTTTATTGCCTGCTGTGTACCAACATTTTGCATGTATTGCTTAACCCTCACAGTATTTTTTACAGCTGCAAATTTGAATTGGTGTTTATTTTTTATATACAAATAAACTGTATTTGTGTAGTGGTAGCTCAACCATAAGGCACTTGCCCATTTCCCCAGTCATAAGACAGGATCAAAAGAGCTCATTTGTCAGTTAGTTGTTTGAAAAAATGAACAGCATATAGATATATGAACAATACCCTGCATCAGTGATTCTTAACCAGGAGTGTTTTAGGAGAAAATTCTCCATGGATCTCTTGTGTTTTGACATGTTTTGTGAGCTGGGGGCACTGCACTTTTGTTCAGACTATCTTTTCAACTGTCTTTTCATGGAAGATTATAAAGCAAATTGCCTTGAGAGACAGAAATATTGTCTTCTTCCAGGGCAGAGGGCAGATTTACTTGATGTCTAGGGTAATGAAGATAATGTCTCACTCTGGTGTCAGTGTTGGGTAGGTTTGCTTGCAGTGCCTTGAAAAGATGTGGGTTTCTTGAACTTGGGGTTCCTCTGCTTTGACACAAACCCAGTATGTGCCCAGTTATCTGCCTGGCCACTCTGTATTACCCTGCAGTACTTGAGAAACAAGGGGACCAACTCGAACATGAAGCTTATGTTGCTTGCCGTGCCATGGGTAATAAGGTCCTTTGCCTCTGACCCAGGAGTCTCATTCTTCTCTGGCACCCGTGCAACTGTGGTGGCTAAGTTGTGGCAGACTCCCGAGATTCAGATTCAGTATATATGTGTGTAAGTTATACATATGTATATATATACTTATATATGTGTACGTAAGTTCCATGGGTGGTTCTGATGCATGTGTCTAGTTGGGAACCACTGTTCTCTTGGTGGTCAGGCAGGCAGGCCTCGGAGGCTGGCTGAGCTGCTAACAGGGAACAGTTTACAGTCAGAGGTACCCAGCAGGGTTCTGGAGACACTGCACGGCCAGAAGGTGGGTGCAGTGGTGTCCCCTAGGGCCAGCTGGGCCTGTCTGACAGTCTCAGCGGGCTCTGCCTGCTAACATCATTTGGGTGAGGTGGTAGGGAATGTGCATCCACAGCTCCTCAGAGAACAGCCTTCCCCAGACGGCAGTGATGGCGCTGACCGTGGACTTGGCCCTGAGCATTTTAGCCAAGCTGTGGGAGCACTCTCTCCTGGAAATTCTGCTGCTGATACGTGCCTCTCAAATTTAAAACAGTCTCTGAAATGATAACAGTTTCAATATTTACAACAAGAACCTTCTATTTGTGTCATATACATCTCTCTCTCTCTCTCTCTCTCTCTCTCTCTCTCTCACACACACACACACACACACACACACACACACACACACACACACAC